GGGAAAAAAATAGATACTTTTGAAAGGAATAAAAAAACATTTAATTCAGCTCCTAAACTGGGGAAGGGTAAAGAGGGGGAAAAACCAACCCTGGAAGTGAGTCTGAAGAAGGAACATTGAGTAACTGTGAGAGCAGCTCCCAAGGAGATGATCTTTTCCTTGGACCAACTTGGATTTAGTGACACCTGGAAATAGTGTCAGAGGGAGAGTTGGCCCCCAACCCCATAAATCAGATTGGAAATCTGGAGCTCCTCGGCTTTGAAACTTCACCCTTTTTCCCTGCTGACCTCTTCCCTGTGTCATTCCAGGTTTGGGATCTGCCTCGTCCCCCGCCAGGCTGAGGACAGGTATGACTGTTACAAGTGCCACTGGTACGAGGGCAAGATGAGAGGCTACGGAATCTGTGAGTAAGTGACACCCACAGATGGATCCTGGGAGGAAAAGGGGTGTTCAAAGGGTGGGATGTTCCCATCTCATCCCATCTGCTGGGAATTTGGATGGAGCCTGGTCTGGAAAGCATTGGTTGTGGGCATGGAGAATCCCAGGATGGTTTGGGTTGGAAGGGACCTGAAAGATCGTCCCATTCCAACCTGGCCGTGGGCAGGGACACCTTCCACTATTCCAAGTTGCTCCAACCTGGCCTTGGACACTTCCAGGGATCCAGGGGCAGCCACAGCTTCTCTGGGCAACCTGTGCCAGGGCCTCCCCACCCTCCCAGCCAGGAATTCCTTCCTAATATCCCATCTATCCCTGCCCTCTGGCAGTTGGAAGCCATTCCATGTGTCTTGTCCCTCCATCCCTTGTAAACAGTCTCTCTCCATCTTTCCTGTGGCTCCTCCAGGTCCTGGAAGGCCACAATCAATTCCCCCCAAAGCTTCTGTTCTCCAGGCTGAACAATCCCAGGTCTCCCAGCACTTGGATGGTTCATCCAATCCCAGAGCCATGGAATGGGTTGGGTTGGAAGGGACCTTAAAGCCCATCCAGTGCCACCCCCTGCCATGGGCAGGGACACCTTCCACTAGCCCAGGTTGCTCCAACCTGGCCTTGGACACTTCCAGGGATCCAGGGGCAGCCCCAGCTTCTCTGGGCAACCTGTGCCTGTCCCTCCCCACCCTCCCAGCCAAGAATTCCTTCCTAATATCCCATCTAACCCTGCCCTCTGGCAGTTTGAAGCCATTCCCTTTGTCCTGTCCCTCCATCCCTTGTCCCCAGTCCCTCTCCAGCTCTCCCTGCACCAAGTGTGCCAGGAGAGCACAGAGCCCAATTTTCCAGCTGGGCTGGACCTGTAGGACCTGCCTTCCTCCAATCTGCACGTTCTGCTCCTTATTTATCACCCCAACTCCGAGGAGCCCTTCTGAGAGAGAGACCAGCCCAGGAGGAAGGGTGGTGGCCACCACAGAAAGGTGAAGACAAGGCTTCCTGTTGATCTGATCTACTCTGGATCAACCAGTGGTCACTGTGACCCAGCTGGGGAGAGGTCAAGGGACAATTGCAAGCCAATGTGCTGTGGAGTGACTAGTTGGGTGATGAACATTCCTCAGAGGGAATGACTCTCAGCAAAAACCTGGAATATTTAGCAGGAAGGTGACCCTGATGTGCTCACCCTCCTGGCTTCCTGTTCCAAGAGGAGCTCTCAGATAGTCCTGGGGTTAAATCCCGTGTCCCTGCAGGTATGGGAATGACATAGTCTACAAAGGTTACTTCAAGGACAACGTGAGGCAGGGCTTTGGGATCCTGGAGAACTTCTCAGCTGAGCATCCCTTCAGATACACAGGCCAGTGGAAAAACAACAAGAAGAACGGATATGGAGTCTGGGAAGACAAAGACAGGTAAAGGGGGGGCGGGTCAGAGGTGGCTTTAGGGGTGTGACAGCTTTGGTGGGATGATAAAGCCTCGTGTTTTGATGAGGAGGTTGGAGGTGGGATGTGTTCAGCCTCTCCTGCAAGGCTTGAACTCCTAGGAAAGCCTTGTATGGACTGAGTTTGTGTGGGACACGTGGAAGTTGTGCTGCACAGGTAAAACTGCCCTCTGGAAGTGACACAGCAAATGGATTAAGATCTAAGAAAAGAGGGAAAAAACCCCCCCATAATTGGTTTTCTGTTGCATTCCAGAGGGGAGAGATACATAGGGATGTGGCTGGATGATCAGAGGCATGGCCAGGGCATCGTGGTGACCCAGTCAGGGGTCTGCTACCAGAGGACATTCCACGCTGATAAAATGGTGGTGAGTACCCACTGTTGGTGGGCTGTGCCAGGCAACGGGATGTGGAACTCACCAGCAAGGGAGAGATTAATATTTCATTCCTTAATTAACCCAGGAGGGCAATTGGAAAGCAAGAAGGTGAGATCTCGGGGAAAGGTTCTTCCCCCAGGGCAGTGGGCACAGCCCCAAGGCTGCCAGAGCTCCAGGAAGGTTTGGACAACACTCTGAGGGACAGAGTGGGATTGTTGAGGTGTCAGTGCAGGGCCAGGAGTTGGACTGGATGATCCTTGTGGGTCCCTTCCAGCTCCCTGGAGAAAATCTCTCTCCTGTGATTTTACCATACCAATATTTTTGAAGAACAAGGTTTAGATTAAGTCCTGATTGTTATCACCCCCCTGAGGTGTGGGGAGGAGCAAGACCTGAGTCTGTCACTTCTCCTTGCTCATCCTAAGACATCTTGTAGGTCTGGCTGTTCAACTGATCACCCAGTCCCAGTTACAGACCAGGAGTCACATGTGAAGTGCTGCATGGTTATAACTCCCTCAGGGTGGTGATACATCCCTCAGGATGGCTAGATGTCTCTCAGCATGGTTATATCTCCCTCAGGGTGGTTGTATCTTCCTCAGGATGGTTGTATATCTCTCAGGATGGCTAGATATCCCTCAGGAAGGTTATATCTCCCTCAGGAAGGTTATATCTCCCTCAGAATGGTTATACATCCCTCAGAATGGTTGTATAACCCTCAGGATGGCTATATATCCCCCAGGATGGTTATATATCCCACAGGATGGTTATACATCCCTCAGGAAGGTTATATCTCCCTCAGGATGGTTATACATCCCTCAGAATGGTTGTATCACCCCCAGGATGGTTGAGGATGGTTGTATATCCCTCAGGATGGTTGTATATCCCTCAGGATGGCTCTATATCC